AATATAGCCCAAATGTGTTAGGTAAGGGCTTTTTGGTTTCAGGCAACAGATGAAATCCATCCTGGGAGTGTACGCAAAAGAGGAAAGCCTGCCGGAAGGCTTTAGAGGTGCCTTATAAGCCCTCTAATGTAAAATGTAGCTGAGGGCCTTCAGGGAACCCATAGAATGAACATCCTACCCTTGCTCTGTGTCCTTCCTCCTGAGAACTGTCTCTTTCTGCTACTCCCCTGTGGAGGATATGGCCACCCCCAACACCTGTGTTTTTGTTCAGAGGTCCAGCCACATGGGGCCTTGCTCTCTGACTCTTTTCCAGTTCTAAATACCAAGGAAGCATCTCTCATTGGCCTCATCTGGGCCAGGTCACCACTGGCAAATTTGATGGAAATGCACACAGATATTAATAAAAATCCATATTAACCCTACATAGGAGCATGGCAATGTTTATTAAATGATGAGTAAAGGAATTAGACATAATTGTGTACCCAACAGGATTACAACCCCTTCAATGTATTTATGCATATGATTAAATTAAAAGAGGCCACAGTGAAGTGTATTTAATGGCTTAGATACTAATAAACTTGGCTTATTCTGCTGCCGTTATTAATAATATAATTGGCATCTGTTCTGTATTGTGTAGTCCAGAAGGCAAGGCCACTGTGGCTGGGCGTTCTTCACAGAGTAGGCAAGTGACCTGAGGTTCAGAGGAGTTGTGTCACGTTGACCAAAGGACAATTTTAAAATCATTTCTGCATGCAGCAGAAATGTTCATGGTTGATGACACCCAGAGAGGCTGTCCTGAGGTCATGTATGGTAAAGGGAAATAAGGAGTGGAGGTTTCTCAGAGTAAGAGGCCAGGAGGAAGTAAGAAAGTTCAGTTTTCTTTTCTCTGTGATCAAAGGATGGCTGAGTACATGGCTAACCCAACTCGGGATGTCTTATCTTGCATAAGAAATATACAGAAAAGAGTTAGTAACCTTAAATATTGCAAATATTAAAGATATTCCAGTCTCCCCTAGGGGGCCTGAGTTTCCATTATTAGAGGTGATTTTATATTAAGGGAGTTCTCTAGCCCCATCATTCCAGGACTTGAGATAGCAATTTATCTTTGGTAAGACTCCTGACTGGAGATGTTACCACCACTCTGAGAGCTCTGCTAGGGCCCCAAACGTGATCTACTTTTTTAAAAAGAGAATATAAGACCAAATATTGGTTGATTGATTTGATTCTGCAAATAACTCTCCTATTGTTTAGGTAAAATTCCTACCAAGTTGGACTAAGGGGACGCACCAGTGAGCCCAGGCTGGTACTTCTCATAGGAAATGAGAGCTTTACCAATGGTTCTGTATGGGTGTGAATATTTCGTTCCAGGCATCTTTTAAATAGAGCTAATTAATCATGTTGTGAATCCGAGGGGGATGTGGATGTCTGTGTGCTGGAAGGCAGAGAGGGGTGGCACAAATTCCCAAAGGTCATATCATCCTCCCATGTGACTGGCTTTGGCAAGGTCTACTCTTTGCTGCCACCTTCTCTGTCTCCAACAGAGGGCTACAGTTTCCTCTGGAGGCAAAAGTGCGGCAGGACCACGGCAGAATGCGCTGCCCAGTGGGATGGATGGGTTGTCTTCCCCCAGAAGAAGCCACACAGAGCTCTGGCACTTGAGCGATGTCCTCTGCCCCTGCCAGGGATTTCCCACCGTCACATCTCAAATGGGGCTTGAAATTCTGGCTGGGCCAGGAGGAAGGAAGTAGCTTTACCGCTCGGCCGTGCATCTGCTGATGAGCTCTGGGTGGGCTGGGCAACTGTGGGGAGGTGACAGATTCAGGTATTGAAATCAAATGCTACCTCTGGTACATTTTATAACAATGAGCTAATATGTACCTTCTAAAAACAAATTTTAGGCCTGGCCGGGCGTGGCTCAGCGGTTGAGCATCAGCCTAGGATCCAGGCGATCAGGGTTCAATTCCCGGTCAGGGCACATGCCCGGGTTGCGGGCTGCAGCCAATCAATGACTCTCTCACTGTTGCNAATTTTAGGCCTGGCCAGGCGTGGCTCAGCGGTTGAGCATCAGCCTAGGATCCAGGAGATCAGGGTTCAATTCCCGGTCAGGGCACATGCCCGGGTTGCGGGCTGCAGCCAATCAATGACTCTCTCACCATTGATGTTTTTATCTCTCTCTCTCCCTCTCCTTTTCTCTCTCTGAAATCAATAAAGATATATTTTTAAAAAATAAAATAAAATAAAAACAAATTTTAGGAGTGTAAGAAGGGGGTCTTAAAAGAGCCTGAGCCCTATGATAAGATCATAACCCTCAATTCATAGGTATGACCAGTCCAATACAAACCCATATACCTGATTCCTGAAAGACACCTGACCCCTGGCTCAGGTGAAACCTTCACTTGTAAAACCAAGGGGTCAGATAGATGATCTCTGTGGTCCTCACCCTCAATGATGTATTTCCTTGCTGTTTGAATTCTAACAAGATCTTGTTTATGATGAAAGCTGTCAGCAGATGCTAAAGCTGTCCCTGGGGGAGGGGGTATTATTGTACCCAGACCTCCCTGGGCTGAAGCATGAGGCTGGGTCCATGGAGATGTGTCTGGTCTCTGAATCAGGTGCAGAAGGAAGGGAAGCGCTCATTTGTGACTAAGACCTGCTCTTCAGCAGAATTTCCCCTACTTCCAGGCTGCATCTGGCTCTAATCAGGAGGGGCTCAAGGGGGATGGGGAACAGGTGGCTCTAGGGACTCCAGGGAGAGCAGATACAAATTTGATACCACCTGGAGGTAAAGAAGAGAGCAAAGGGGGTTGTAAAAAGAGCTAAAAACTAGAAACATGACAACCAAATGTAACATGTGACCCTCAGTAGGGTACTGGATTTAAAGACACACATAAAAGACATATTGGGACTATTGGGGGAATTTGAATGTATCGGTATTAAATTTTAAGTATAAAATGGGGGTGGTTATGAATATGAACNAATGTATCGGTATTAAATTTTAAGTATAAAATGGGGGTGGTTATGAATATATATTTATACACAAACAGAGAGATGAAGCAAATGTTAAATATTAAAAGCTGGTGAGTGTGGGTGAAGCTTATGTGGTGTTCATTGTGCTATGCCTTCTACTATTCTGCAAGTCTGAGGTTTTTAAAAATAAAAAGTGTTGGAAAATTGCTCGAAAGTCAGAAATGTGCTATAGTTTAGGTTCTCCATTCCTATAATCTCTTCTGAGTTTATTCATCCCATATGTTAAGAAGAACCCACTCCCGTTGTGATTTAAGATCATTTCCTCATGTGTTCTGTTCTCTTTGGAGATGGAGTCAGCATCCTCCTTGTAAGTCTAGGGCTCAGCTGGCTTTGATGATGTGGGAAACCTCAGGCTGTTCCCAGAGCTCATATTTATGTGTTGTGGGCCACTTTCCCCACCACCCCAGGAAGAGCCACTGTTGAGTAACACTGAAGGCAGCTTCTGCTAACACTTGTTGAGCACTCGAGTGAGTGCTCTTTAGCTGCATCAGCTCAGCTGATTCTCAACAGCAAGCCTTGCTTACAAATGGCAGAGCCAGAATGAGAGGAACCCAGGACTCCTCTCAAGCCTTTGTTCTTGACCACCATTGAGTTTATCTCAGGCTGGAGGTCATTGCAATTACCTGGTGAGTATATTCCAAATATACCCCTGTGGGCCCCACCCCCAGGAGTACTGGATCTGCAGTGGGGCTCAGACATCTGTTGCATGGATAGGCGTGGGTCCATTGTCTCTCTAAGCCTTGGGTGAGTTCCATCGGTGACCTGTCTCCTCTCCCATCACCACTTGGAGAGTCAACCCCTTTAGCCTGAGGGGTTTGCCTCAGCCCTTCCTTTCTGCTCAGATCACTGTCTGCTTGCGTTGGCCATGGTAGCCTCACAGGGTGCAAGCTGGGGCCATGGGTTTGGTTGAACTAGTAAACCTACTGTGCACCATTCCTCACGCTTGGCCTGTGGAGGTATTTCAGGAACTCAGGTGTGGGCTCCTGTGGACCCTGGTGCAGAGTGAGGTGTGCCTTCTGAGTCCTCTAGGAGGAGGGGACAGAGGAACCACAGGAGGTGCAGGCTGTGGCTGTATCTGCAATGTTTTATTTCTTATTTTTTGAATGAATCTCAAGGGAATTATGCTGAGCGAAAAGAGTCAATTCCAAAAGGCTATATACTGTATTATTCCATTTATATAATTTTCTTGATGTGACAGAGTTACAGAAATAGGGCAGATTAGTGGTGGCCAGGGGTCAGGGGCTGGCGGATTGCTAGTGAAGGACACCATGAGGGACCCTGGTGGCGATGGAAATGCTCTGTACCTGGACTGAATCAGTGTCAATTTCCTGCTTGAGATCTTGTCCTGTAATTTTGAAAGATGTTGCCATAGTGGGAAACTGGGTGAAGGGTACACAGGACCTCTATGTTATTTTTTAACAATTTGACGTGAATCCTCAGTCATCTCAAAATGAAAAAGCTTAATTTAAAAGAGAGAGGCTATAAGGCAAATATGGCAAAATATTAGTATCTGTTCTATATGGGTTTTGGAAATCTGTTCTATTTTTTGTTTGATTTTCATCATCTTCTGAATGTTTGAATTATTTAGTAAAAACGAAACCCTCTGGAGTCATCTAGTCAGCCTCTGAAGTATGCACCCCTGCCCGAGACCTCAGGCTGGGGCGATGGAAGTACAGTCCCGAGTTCTGCAAGCTTGGCTGTGGTGCTGGCCTGGCTGCAAACAACGCTTCTGATCTTGCCCTGTCCTCACTGAGCCTGGGAAAGCACCCAACACTCCTGGAGGGCTGGGACTTCCCTGGTAGTTCCCGCGGTGCCCCGTGCATCTCCTTGGCATGTTAACAAAACGGCCAAAATCATACTTCCCTACTGACGCTCGGTGACAGTTGACTTCTCGACTAAAAGAGCTCCTGCGAGGAAGGCTGTCTTCTCACTATAATGCTGCACTTTGTGTATTATAAGAAAAGAGACATACATACTAGAATTTATTTATTATATAGCTAAATCACAACTTTACAATACGTTCAAAAGGGACTAAACGAGACACGGGCAATAGTTTAAATGTAAAAATAGAAAAGAATCAGTTAAGTCCAAAAAAGATCAGTTAAGTTGGAATGGAATCTTAGGAATTGTTAACACGCAAGGTGTTTGCAACACGGTGTCACAGGAGGGACTTGGCCGTAGCAGGGCTATTCACATGGATTCTGAATGACAATCAGAAGATATTCCTTATCTGTGGAAAGATACGGGCAGAATTAATCCACTCGGAAAATTAAATATAATAAATGAATACTTTAGCTAATCTGCTTTTCTCTTTGAAACATCACTTGGACCTTGTGTAGACGAGTGGCTTTCCACACTGGATGCACATCAGAATCACCTGTTGAGCTTTAAAAAAATACCATTACCTGGGGCCCAGCCCCAGATATTCTGATTCCATTGGTCTGGGGTACAGTCCTGGTATCAATCAATCATTTCTGTAAAGCTCTCCAAGTGATTCCAATGTGCAGCCAGGGTGAGAATGCAGGTGTAGAAAAAGCTTTATTTAGTTTATGGGTAATTCTGATTCTATAGATGTACTACTGGGGAGAAGTTTATTCTGGACTAGGTCTAGGAGCATGAGTCTTGTTTCACACTGACATCTACCAACACTGGAAATGCCTTTCCTTCATGGAAAGAAGTATTTTGGTGGCTGCTCTCTTTGGGTAGGCCAGGACGATGTGAGCTCCTCACGAGGGGGATTTAAGAATCTATAGGCCTTTGATCCACCCCCATTTGGTCCCCTGGACAGGAGGCATTTATCCCACTCTACAGAAAATCTGTGTGCTATGTTCACCCTTCATGGGACCTACATCTCCTAAATTTTTAAAATACTAATGATAAATGCAAGTGGGCAAAACTCATCTTCTTCAAAGANTCACCCTGCATGAGACCTACATCTCCTAAATTTTTAAAATACTAATGATAAATGCAAGTGGGCAAAACTCATCTTCAAAGGTCAAATTCATCACTAATGTCACACAACTTTCAAGATGGAATTTTCAGATGCAAACATGTCTTCATTTTATAATTGAAGAACATGACGTGTCATGTTGCATATTAAAACCTATACTCCTTGTTCTCTGAAACAGAGCTTTCATATGGTAAAGTAGAAAGATGCTTTAAATAAGAAATAAAATGCCAAATTACCTGGAGCCACCATGATTTCGTGTTTCTTTGATCTGATCCTAAGAAAGGTGAGGTCGTTCTGAGGATCAATATCACGGACTGTGCTCCTGGCTTTCATAGTCAGCTGATGGAGAAGACCTGCATATTGAACTGTTGTTGAGTTGTCCAAGGTTGTTCGGATCGGAATGCCTGTTATGAGATTTAATTTGGTGTTAAAATTTTTTTATTTTATTATAAAAGTAATATGCACATTCCAGAAATATGGAAACCAGTTATAATTGTTAGGAGGAAGAAAAAGTGATGGCTGGCATTACTCACTGTAACAATTTTAGTTTATTTTCTTCCAATCTGTTGTTTCTGCATAGATTTAAAAAAAATACTTGGGTCAGCCCTGGCTGGGCAGCCCAGTTGGTTGGAGCGTCCTCCTGTACACCGAGAGGTAGTGGGTTTGATTTCTGGTCAGGCACAGACTCAGGTTTCGGGTTTGATCTTTGGTCAGGGCATGTATGGGAGGCAACCCATCGATGTTTGTCTCTCTCATATCAGTCTCTCTCTCTCTTTCTCTAAACATATCCTTGGGTGAGATTAAAAAAAAATACTTGGGTCAAACTGTAATTATAAATTTGGTGATTGCTTTTTTCTTCATTTAAATGACAATATACAAGTTGTCCATGACAATGTCATCCATATTATTTTGAACGGCTGTACATTTTACTATTTTATGGATATATTATAATCAATCGCTACTGTTGGATTATTAGGTATCGTGGTTTTTGTTTTTGTAGCTAATGGTGTGATGAACATTTCTGTGCACAAATCTTTTGTAAGTTGTTAAATGATTATTTCAGTACTAAGTGAACATACTACTACTAGACAAAATGCATTCCAAGTGTCCTGATTACGGAGAGTCTGCTTTGAAATGCTTGGTGTTTGATGTGGTGCTGGTTTCCTCCCAAGGCCAGAGTTAGAAGGCGGTATCCCTGCATATGCTGGACAGTATAGCAAAAGGGACTTTGGGAGTTTCTTTGTAACATACAGTATTTAGCAAAACTTAAAATTTTATATTAGAAAACACAGCGACAAAGACACTAGTTTCGCTGGGCATTTCCTGGTTTGCCCTCATTCCTGATATAAGTATTATTAAATTTGGCTACTTGTGTGCTCTATTGCTCTATGATATGTGTTTAAAATAGAACCTATTAATTTAACTGGAAAAATCTAGCCAGACAAATATGCAAGTATAATTCAATTCAGTTCAAATCAATCTAGTTTAATTCGGGTCACTCAGCGCTCAGTGCTCATTAAGTAACAGGCTCTGTGCTAGGTATTTTTCATATATTGTATCTAATCAGAAGTGGTTTTCGTATTATTTTGAGAACTACCGCATAGCCAGGGAATCCCAGAAATTTGATTTGCAAATTTGCCTTTAATTTAGGGGGACATATGAAGGTGAGTTAGGGATCACTGTTAGACTCCTCAGGTACTCGAACTGAGGCCAATCAATAAGAGGCTAACGTGACTCTTAGTTTTCCCTCAGAGAATGTAATTTCAGAAACTCTTGAACGAGATGAGCACTTCAACAGTGGAACAGCATCACAAACTTGGGATTTTAGCTGTTTTCCATGAAACTTTGAGAGTCTCAATTCTGACTCTGAAACAGATTAACTGCTTTCTTTTTTATGAAAAGTGTTCTCTCTAGAATAGGTCTTAGAGCAAAACAATAGGGGGGCAATATTTACAGGAAAACCTACTCAATGAACAAGGTTCCATCTACACTTGTTAATTTTCGTATTATTATTTGTTGGCCACCTCCCCCCAGAAGTCAGTTTTGTCTTTCACGGCTGATGACACATCCCACGGCATGTGTCTTTAACAGGCAGGAGAGTGGAACGTAGCAAGCACTCAACCTTGTAAGAGCCCTTTTTTGATGAACAGTTTTATTTTGCATCCTGAATAGTGACTACCTACAAAGTCTGCATTGCTCAGTGTCAAAACAAGAAATACAACCAGAATAAATTATTTAAAATGCAGATGACAAGATATGAATCAGATGCTCAGACCTATTTAGCTAGTCTTTTCCTGATCCAAGGCGATAAATAAAGCAGCCGGCCTTTCTGAGTAGTAAGTGCACACTGTGGAAAGTCTTGGACTTTTTCATATCCCCTACAGACACTTGAAAAAAAAAATCAGTCAACAAAGATTTATGGAGCTCTTGCTTGGTGCCATGCAAGGTAATTAAAAAATAATTTGTTAAGAAGTAATTTTGGCACATGGTGTAAAACTCTCCCACTTCCCCTTCTGAGAGGTAACCGCTGCTCCGGGTCTCTCTANTATAAAACTCTCCCACTTCCCCTTCTGAGAGGTAACCGCTACTCCGGGTCTCTCTAGTACTCTTCCCGAGGGCCTCTAAGCCTTTTAAAGTAGGTATGTGCTTGTATTCTTTAATCGTATCATCTCTATTTTGCACCCATTTTTTTCATTTAATGTACTTTGGAAATGGTTCCATTCAGTACCCACAAGGCTAGGTCATTCACGTTAATGACTACGTAATAGGACTGTCGAGTGGATGCTTTGTAATACGCTTAACTAACGCATCCTCCTGACTTGCATCTAGGCTGTTCCCCATCTCTGACTTTTATAAACAAGGCTGCAGAGCATGTCCCTGTGCATGCCATCTCCCATTTGCATATATGCATAGGATAAATTCCTAAAATGGAACTTTGGAACAGAGAGCATGAATTTGATATTGCTGAATTTATGGCACTGTTTTAAAACGACTCTTTATGATCCCAGTACGCTGGTACTCCCCCACTGTATATTTGTTCTTTGGTTGATAGATTGTATTTCAAAAATAAAAGGAGTTGGCTGGATGGCTGATAATATCTAATGAAAGTCAAAGGATAAGTTGTTAGAAATGTCAAGAATATTTAAAATTAAGATCCTACAGAAATCAGGCTTATATCCATAAGAATATATGACAGGTGTGACTGCCTGGGAAATATATACACACACTCACACACACATATATACATACACACACACAGACACAGTGTCCCAAAAAATGTATACACACTTTAAGAGANCATATATACATACACACACACAGACACAGTGTCCCAAAAAATGTATACACTTTAAGAGCTGACAGCCCAATTTAGAAAAAGAAATGTATTTTAATAAACACTGTCTTAATAATTATTCAAAGTGTGCGTATACATTTTGGGGATACCCTATATATACACATTCTAATTCAATGATCAGTGCTGTATCACTGTAAATAATGAATGGTTTTCTAAATGGGAAATCAATGCTAACACAGAGTCTTCTCTAACAAAAACCTATACCATTCAGCCTTGGGCTAAAATGATAAGTCTCCTTTATTGTCATGAAAAGGAAGTCTATGTTTCAATAACGGTGAAACCACAAAACTCTATTTAACTTGGCATATGAAAAGGTCCAAATGTATAAACATGGTAGGCGGCCTGCGTAACCACAAATAACACCTGAAAATATGTTAAAATGATTTGCCTAGACTTAGTGGACTAACACCACTAGCAGAGAACAAGACCACATAAACACCATCTTAGTTAAATATTTTCAGTATCAAATTTCATGGGACTTCTGAAAGCTACAAAGCTGCACTATAATAAATGTCACTTTCATCTAAAATGGAGTAGGCTGTTGAAATGGAGTATTTTATTACATTCTGGTCACATAACTTATACCACATTCTATTAATAAACATCCTTGTCTTATACTCTGGTTATTAATAATCTGACCGTAAAAATAAACCCCTCATTTATATTTTTAGGGAAAAGGCTAATTTGGATTTCAGAAGAGTGCCCTGAATCCTAACACAACCTTATCAAAGTAGAGGTTAATTAGAAGAACTTAATGGGTCTTAAAAATAATATTTTGTTGCTTTTGTATGAGAAAAATGTTACGAAACCCCAGGAAAATAATATAAAAATCACTTTTAATTCTGCCTCTTGGAGATAATTACCGTAAAACATCTCAACCTTTTCTTCCATATTTATTCTAAGTTTCTACATGTGTGCTTGGCTGTATTTTTGATTAGAAAATGTTGGGTACTGCTATGTTTCCTGATTTTTTTCATCTACTATTATGAATAGTTTCCCATGAGTCTAAATATTCTTCAGCATTTTAAATAGAGAAATAGTTCATCAAGTAAATATTACATAGCTAATTTAAAATTTCCCCTACTGTTGGGATAGATCAGCGATTTTCAACCTTTTTCATCTCATGGCACACAAACCAATTGCAAAAATTCTGCAGCACACCAAAAATACATTTTTTTTGCCGATCTGACAAAAAAAAAGGTATAATTTAGATTTATTCACATAAGATGGCTATTGTTCTGTTGGCTGTCTTTTTTTGTTTTTGTTTTTTAATTTGACAATCTAAGAGAAAAGAGGTCAGTGCCCCTGACTAAATAGTCAGGTACTGCATGTTTTAAAAATTCTGTGGCACACTGGTTGAAAATCACTGGAATAGGTTTATTTACTTATTTCTCTGTTTATATATTGCTATTCTGTATGATGCCTCAGTGAGTATCTTTTGTACCTAAATCTTTCTTCATCACTTCTTAGGATAAATTCCTAGGAGTGGAATCACAGATCAAAGGGTATGGATATTGTTCAGACATCTGATGCATATTGCCAAGATTATGTACTTTAGACTAAGATCTTCCAAAGTAACACACAGGTGAGTTGACCTGGATGTTACAGATGAATGCACCTATATTGGGCTGAATAGTGTGTGCCCCACCCCCCACTACGCACACAATTCAGGTTTAACCTAAACCTCAGAATGTGACCTTGTTTGGAGATAGGGTCTTTGCAGATGTGATGAGTTAAGATGAAGTCACACTGAATTAAGGTGGACCCTTATCCAATGACTGGTGTCTTTTCTTTATAAGAAGAAAAACAGAAACACGGAGAAGATGATGGAGATGGAGATTGGAGAGATGCATCTACAAGCCAAGCATGCCAATGATTGCTGGAAACCACCAGAAACTGGGAGACAGGCAAGGAAGGATCTTGTTGTAGAGCCTCCAAAGACAGCTTGGCCCTGATGACATCTTTATTTCAACTTCTAGCTTCCAGAACTGAGAGAGAATAGCTTTTTTTTAAGCCACTAGGTATGTAGTACTTTGTTACGGCAGCCAAAGGAAAGGAATATAGCACCTCTGTGGAGTGGCAAAGATTAACACATCTTAGGAGGTGGCAGGGTTTATGTAAATGCTTGGACCTAAAATCAGTTCCACCAGAACCAAGCACTAGGGTTGGATTGCTTCCTGGAAATATTAGACATAGATCTGGACTTAACTATAGGGCTGATCTTAAGTCCACTCTCTCCTGATCACTCTAGCTGGGAGTATTTATTATATCCATTTGATGTTATATTTCATTTAATTTTGTAAAACACATCAGATGTTTTATCTGTACAAATCAGTTAAAAACCCCCACATTCTCAGAACTATTTATTTATAATTATATTAAGTGTTGGGTATTGTGCCAGGCACTTGAAAATTATTATTTCACTTATCACAACCATCAGTAAAGTAGGTTATTTTCCATTTTTAATAATAAGGGATTGAAGTTCAGAGTTTAAACAGACTTTAAATTGTTTAAGATTTAAAGCCATCAATAAATATTGATGGATTTGCTCAAAATAATGATTAGCTGTGAGGTTCTGTTGCCAAGCACTGGGTTGGCAATGTGCCAATCCCATGGTTGCACCATGAATTATATGAAGTAACTACTCTTATTTCAACAAATACTCTGGGATTTGTGGCACTTCTTGCCCTTACAAATGCCTGATTTAGCAATGAAATGAGCAAGAGCCTTTAAGAGGTTGCCACCATAGCTGAACCTGGGGCAGGCAATGTGCCAGGTAAATGCTTTGTGGATTAATAGGCACTGTGGAGTGAGAGCAAGTTTCTGGTATAAATCTACAGGTTTCATAGGTGGAAATGTACTGGCCTTTCTTATACTATAACCACAAAAACTATACTATAAATTTCAACTAATTCTTAAAGAATTTTATTAAATATGGTAAAGGAACAATTTCATTTAAAATGAAGGCCAAACCTCTGTACCCTCTACCGTGTTAAAACAAAAACTGCCAACAATGATATATTTCCTGTCTTCAATATAGAAGTCTCACTGGTACTCCTGAAATGTTAGAAGAGAGTTACCAAAGCTTTCAAAATTAGACAAGGTATAGTGTTTCTTAGCAATATGTAGACATTTTTAGACATGTCTTATTCACATTTATATCCCTAGTTCTTAGCAGAGTGCTTGGCATGTAATACTCAATAGGTGTTTGGTAAGTAAATGTTATAACTAAAATATACAGAATATGCTTTTGAGTTCAAATTCTAAGATGCTTGTCTTAAGGCATGGCACAACAATCAGGGGCTTGGTTGGCTTCTGCAGGTCAAGAAGGCAGCCGGTGATGTATTTACCTTCTGCATTTACAACCATTGTTCCAATAACCCCTTTATGGCTTTGTATCCTCTTTAGGGTTTCCTCCACTTCTGCCTGGAAGAGATCAAGATGGCAAGTAACCAAAAGGTTGTTTGTGGTGACCCCAATCCTATAGAGAATAATATTTGGAAAGAGCACTACTCTCCTATTTCTTTAACCTAAGGTACTAGATACTATAATCTCAGACTTTTGGAAGAGAGCTTGGAAACTCTCCAGTCCCATATACAAGCCTACTTAGGACCCCTGGCTGACAACCCTGACAAGTCTCTTGGCTTGAACTCCTCTACAGTCAGAAAGCTTACTGCCTCACAAGAGCTCATTCCATTTTTTTCTACTTACTGGAAAAGTATTCTTTACATTGGACAGAAATCTGCTCCAGATCATCTTTCACTCATTGATCTTTCCATATTTATATGAAAAATTCCCTTTCTACATTGTAGTACTTTAACATTTATAGAGTTATATCATTGCCACCCTCTGTCTAAAAGTGTCCCTTAATGCGAAATCTTATTTTTCAGTCCTAGATGTTACCTATTTGGGAGTTCAGATGATTAAATTGAGGATATTCTGTAAAAACATATTCCAGGATTCCAGGAATCGCTTGGTAACTATGGCCTGTTTCTCAGTGCAAGCTGAATGTTCAACCATGAATGATTATGTTAGAACCCCATCCCTGGGTATTAACCTCAGCCTTCTGATTGAATTTTATGCATAAACTACACTGTAGCGGTTTTTTTTCCTTCTACAAATGCTAACAGCAAGAATCATCTTTTCCAAACCTGCATATTGTTCATAACTGAGTAACTACTGGATATTCTGAATTCAGACATTATTCTGCAGAGTCTCTTGAGGGTTTGCGATATTTTTCCCCCTCCCAACACTGTACAAGTGAACATTATGTTGTTTAGGTAAGACAGTTTTCTTTTGCACCTGATGTGAGTGGGAAAAGTTATTTCCTCTTTTGTTACCACTATAGAGGTGTTTTCTAAATTTCAGGCATTTATGTGCTAGAGTCACAATTTGTGACATTATGAATACCATCTATATGATTTACCTAGCACGTCCTTTAAATGACCTCACTGCTAAAAGCTTAAGTGAATGCATTTTCAAAGGAAATTATACATCACTACCAGAAATGGAAACCTGGTGTTATTAGTCATAAACAGAAATAACCAAGGAAAACAAGGGGTGAATCATATTATTATATTCTACCCTAATAAAACCCCCCAAGCCTGAAGTCTATTCTTGAGTGAAAATTTGACAATGTGAAATGACAGCATTATAACGGCCTCCCATAACAACGAATGTTTGCATTTCATTTGGGGAAATACTGCACTTAAAGCATAATAGCTGTACAGGGGATCAGGAATTTATTACCTCGTTGCCATCTCTAAGACAATGTCCACAGCCCCTTACCATCGCTGCCTCGTTCACCCCTTTCTCTTTCACTTCTCTCCCCAACTCCTCTCTCTGCTTTCCCTAAACTTTCCTTCCCTTTTCCCAGTTCTCGCCTTTCTTGCTTTCCGAGCCCTCCTGCTACAATCTCTGGATCCCCACCCCCTTCCCATTCCTCTTAAAACTCTTTGCTTTCACCTTGCTCCTCTTCAAACTTCCCCATCTCCACTTTCCTTTCCCTTTCCCTCCGTCCCTCCCTCCCTATTTATTCTCTCCCCTCCCTTTCCTCTTCCCTCCGTTCTCTTCGTTTATTTTCTTCCCTCTCAATCTCTCTTCCTTCTCCCCTCTCTCCACTGCTTTGCGCCCCCTGCCCCCCTCTTCCTTTCCTTTCGGGGTGATTTTTCCTCTCCGTCCCCTTCCTCCCCTTTTCACACTTTCCTCGTGGTCGAGATCTCTCACCCCCCACACGGACTTTCATCCCCTCAGGGTCTCTCTTCTCTTTCTCGATATCGCCCCTCCCCAAGGACCACCTCCAAAAATCACTCCCTTAGGTGCCTAGGCCCCAAGACAGCGCTCGCCATGTGGACTTCTTCCTCCCCGCCCCCATGGCCGCCCTCTCGGCCCTCTAGGGGTCTCCTAGTCTCCCTCCCAAGAAGCTTCCGGAGACCCCCGCCTGCTGGACCTCGGGACAGCGAAGCCCCACGCGGGTCCGCGCCCTTGCAGCTGCGGCTCGCGGACGGAGACCCCAGATTTACCATCGCGCCGGCGGCGAAAACTCCGGGCTCAGTCCGGCTCTACGGCTGCCTGGGTTGTCAACAACGCTTCCAGCCGTTGCTAGGAGACGGAGGAGGAAGTGCGCCCCCGGAAGCCGGGGAGCCCGCGCCTGCGCAAAGGGCCGGGCAGCCGCCGCAGGGGGC